GTTTGTAAGTGTGGGTGGTGTTCGTAAGTGAGGGTGGTGTTGGTAAGTGCGGGTGGTGTTGGTAAGTGTGGGTGGTGTTCGTAAGTGAGGGTGGTGTTGGTAAGTGTGGGTGGTGTTCGTAAGTGTGGGTGGTGTTCGTAAGTGAGGGTGGTGTTGGTAAGTGCGGGTGGTGTTGGTAAGTGTGGGTGGTGTTCGTAAGTGAGGGTGGTGTTGGTAAGTGTGGGTGGTGTTCGTAAGTGTGGGTGGTGTTCGTAAGTGAGGGTGGTGTTGGTAAGTGTGGGTGTTGTTCGTAAGTGTGGGTGTTGTTTGTAAGTGTGGGTGGTGTTCGTAAGTGAGGGTGGTGTTGGTAAGTGCGGGTGGTGTTGGTAAGTGTGGGTGGTGTTCGTAAGTGAGGGTGGTGTTGGTAAGTGTGGGTGGTGTTCGTAAGTGTGGGTGGTGTTCGTAAGTGAGGGTGGTGTTGGTAAGTGTGGGTGGTGTTCGTAAGTGAGGGTGGTGTTCGTAAGTGAGGGTGGTGTTCGTAAGTGCGGGTGGTGTTTGTAAGTGCGGGTGTTGTTGGTAAGTGTGGGTGGTGTTGGTAAGTGTGGGTGGTGTTCGTAAGTGAGGGTGGTGTTGGTAAGTGTGGGTGGTGTTCGTAAGTGAGGGTGCTGTTCGTAAGTGTGGGTGGTGTTCGTAAGTGCGGGTGGTGTTTGTAAGTGTGGGTGGTGTTCGTAAGTGAGGGTGGTGTTGGTAAGTGCGGGTGGTGTTGGTAAGTGTGGGTGGTGTTCGTAAGTGAGGGTGGTGTTGGTAAGTGTGGGTGGTGTTCGTAAGTGAGGGTGGTGTTGGTAAGTGTGGGTGGTGTTCGTAAGTGAGGGTGGTGTTCGTAAGTGAGGGTGGTGTTCGTAAGTGCGGGTGGTGTTTGTAAGTGCGGGTGTTGTTGGTAAGTGTGGGTGGTGTTGGTAAGTGTGGGTGGTGTTCGTAAGTGAGGGTGGTGTTGGTAAGTGACGGTGGTGTTTGTAAGTGAGGGTGGTGTTGGTAAGTGCGGGTGGTGTTTGTAAGTGTGGGTGGTGTTCGTAAGTGAGGGTGGTGTTCGTAAGTGCGGGTGGTGTTTGTAAGTGCGGGTGTTGTTGGTAAGTGTGGGTGGTGTTGGTAAGTGTGGGTGGTGTTCGTAAGTGAGGGTGGTGTTGGTAAGTGAGGGTGGTGTTTGTAAGTGAGGGTGGTGTTGGTAAGTGCGGGTGGTGTTTGTAAGTGGACATGGCCATTTTTTTGTTTATAAGGTAAATAATCTAAACACAAATTAAGCACGTTTCATCAAACCCTATGTATTCACGTTAAACATTTGTGAACGATTTAGAACCAAGGCTGCAGTAAAGGTGAATAAACTCTGGGCGAACCAATCCCTCGTTCAAATCTCCCTGCCATCTCTCTCAAACCATCCAACCAAATCAACATCGAAGCGAACCACAGCATCATCATCGCCCCTCTCCTCAATGCATCAGCGACCTCTCGTGGAAGTTACGATATCCACCTCATTCACCCCACCACCATGTCCGATAGAAAAGAGACGCTTATTCGAGCATTGTCCTAACGTCTTTACATATACGTACGTAGATAGGCGAGGTAATCAACATCACGGTGGCTAGATGTTAACTACCTCGCCTGGTGTACAAAAGGTCGTGGGCTCGATCCTGACCCTGACGCCTGCTGCTGTATATTTGGAGTTTGCGTGTCTCTCTCTCTCATCATCATCACGGTTGCTATGAGATGTTAACTACCTCGTCTGGTTTACAGGAGGTCGTGGGTTCGATCCTGACCCTGACGCCTGCTGCTGTATATTTGGAGTCTGCGTCTCTCTCATCATCATCACGGTGGCTAGGAGATGTTAACTACCTCGCCTGGTGTACAAGAGGTCGTGGGTTCGATCCTGACCCTGACGCCTGCTGCTATATATTTGGAGTCTGCGTGTCTCTCTCTCATCATCATCACTGTGGCTAGGAGATGTTAACTACCTCGCCTGGTGTACAAGAGGTCGTGGGTTCGATCCTGACCCTGACCCTTCCTGCTGTATATTTGGAGTCTGCGTGTCTCTCTCTCATCATCACGGTGGCTATGAGATGTTAACTACCTCGCCTGGTACGCAGCAGGTCGTGGGCACGACCCTGACCCCTGCTGCTGTATATTTGGAGTCTGCGTGTCTCTCTCATCATCACGGTGGCTAGGAGATGTTAACTACCTCGTCTGGTATACAGGAGGTCGTGGGTTCGTTCCCGACCCTGACCCCTGCTGCTGTATATTTGGAGTCTGCGTGTCTCTCTCCCCGTGGTCGCGTGGATTTTTTTCCGTGTTCTTTCGGGGTTTCTCCCTCCACATTTAGAATCAACGTGACGCTTTTAGAAGAGTTATTTGGCTGCTGCTATGAATTTCGACACGATGATTATGATGATCGCCCTTCGTTGGAGCTATTATAATTATTTGTGATGGCCAGGAGTCGCTTCTGAAAAAGGTAATATTTAAACAAACTTTTTAAAAACACACGCTTTTATGAAATGTACTGTACTAGTAATGGAAGAACTTCACGACCCCAAGAAGTGGCCCGAAGCTTGCCACAACGTAAGGGGACCGTGACCAATTACAGCCAACGTCAGTTGAGCGTGGACAATTAGACCCAAGCCGAAACATAACATAATCAATAATGTAAAAAATATATATTTTTTATGATAGAATATAGTATTGTCATCAGTGTGACATACGCATACCAAGTTTGCAGTCGATACCACATTGTGAAGTGGGTTGAAATTGAGTTACAAGATTTGAGGATACAAGAACAACAACAACAACAGCAGAGTGAGTTAATAAAAATAGTGTAAAATAAAATATCTAGTGGGGCCTTACACCTCGTAAGATACAAAACACAATAGTTTAGTTGCTACTTCATGTGACCTCATTTGCCAGTTACAAAATATGATAATAGGGGGTTTCCCCTTTTTTCTGGCAACAAAACAGCCGTGTTAAGTTGTTAAAACACCAAACTGACACCTTTTTACAAGGAATCATGTCTGCATTCTGACCACAAATATTGTGGTCAGAATGCAAACAAAACACATTCTTCTGCGGAGGGAGCTGGTAGGAACGTTGGGTTGCTCGGTCAATGGCCAGGGTCAACGGCGGCACCACCACGTGGTGTATACAGCACAATATGCCCGACTGTGAGGGCGGGCACAAGCCGGCGTGAGTAGGTTAAACGTTGAGTTTTATAAGGGCACCACGGGGTGACCAGCCCCTCCTCACCCAGCCCCACCCCTCCCACCCAGCCCCTCCCCAACCGGCCCCACCCCTCCCACCCAGCCCCACCCCTCCCACCCAGCCCCACCCCTCCCACCCAGCCCCTCCCCACCCAGCCCCACCCCTCCCACCCAGCCCCTCCCCACCCAGCCCCACCCCTCCCACCGAGCCCCACCCCTCCCACCCAGCCCCTCCCCACCCTCCCCACCCAGCCCCTCCTCACCCAGCCCCACCCCTCCCACCCAGCCCCTCCCTCTCCTCCCCACCCAGCCCCTCCCTCCCCTCCCCACCCTCCCCACTCAGCCCCACCTACCATCCCCACCCAGCCCCTCCCCACCCTCCCCACCCAGCCCCTCCCTCCCCTCCCCACCCTCCCCACCCTCCCCACCCTCCCCTCCCCACCCAGCCCCACCTACCATCCCCTCCCCACCCAGCCCCTCCTCACCCAGCCCCACCCCTCCCATTTGTGGATGCACGACGGACGGACACAATCATCCCCTGTGGGCTGCTGGTGTAGTAACCAGGAGGTTCCTACCACTAAAAGAACACTGATATTTACATTGTCTTTAAAACTGATTGTTCCACACCAGAGACAGCTTTCTTTTGAGCCTCGTCTCAAAACGGTGTTAGACCAGAGGACGCCAACAGGCGAACAGCTCAAAGACAATGCATAGAATATCAGAGTTTGTTTTTTGTGCGCATTATGACCACAGGTATTGTGGTTAATGCAGACATGGTTCCTTGTAAAAAAAGGTTTCAGTTTGAACATCTTAACACATTTTTATTTAAAGCTTTCGTGACTGCAGGGATTCATATTCTTGGTTCTGCCGGTGAAGTCACCACGTAGAAGGGAAACAATACAATAATACAAATATAAAACAATAAAATTCTCACGACGTTTCTACTGCAACACAAGCAATCATCATCAGGTGTGAAAACCACAGCAAGAAAAATTTGAAAAAAAGTGGCGCTTTTTTTAAAATGTGGTTTTCACACCTGATGACGATTGCTTGTGTTGCAGTCGAAACGTCGTGAGAATTTTATTGTTTTATATTTGTATTATTTTATTGTTTCCCTTCTACGTGGTGACTTTACCGACAGAACCAAGAATACCTTAACACAGCTGTTTTGTTGCCAGAAAAAGGTGGAAAACCTTTTCTCACAATCGTTTCGTGTTGTAACGTTCTCACCCCGTGCCCCCACTGGACTTTTCGTGAAAAAAAGAGCTTTATAGCTCTTCGGATTCCTAATGCACTATACATAGTCTGATCAAATCGCGTTTGTCAGCCGCACCACTCGCCGTAGTTCCGTGTTTACACCCTTCGTTGACGTCACTCCGGTTGCGTCACCACGTTGGTGACGTCATCCTGCTCCGCAGTGCCATCTTCAGGGCGCGCAGGCCTCGGAGGCGTCATCACGCAACCATTTTTCCCCCCCCGCCCCCTCCGTTTCAAAGTCAAACGTCATCACGTACGGCTCTGCGTCGTGGCGTACGGGTCGTGACGTCACGGCGCACAGTCCGGCCACCGTCAAAGGGCGTCCGCACAACACGCTGTACGCGTGACGTAAACGCTGCTCCGGGCCCGTTGGTGCGCGGTGACATCACACAGATTTTCTTTTGAAATCGACGTCACGACGCACGGTCCCGGATGCGTGGACGTAACACGGACGCTTCCCCGTGACGTCGCAACGCGCGCGGAGCGTCGCCGCGGTACGCGATGACGTCATTGCGTGCGTGTGTGTGTGTTTCCCACGCTCGCGGCTGACGTCATGACGTCTGTTTACACGCTCGCGGTGACGTCACCCGGCAATCAACGCAGGGTGAAGGCCGCAAGTCGACTGTGTGAGTGGTTTGTGGTTCTTCGCGGGCGAAAGTTTACCTCAGACGCCAACTCGCCCGACACCTCATCACGCCGATAAATGTTTTGTGTTTCTCCCTTGTGATGGTGACCTTGTATGATGAACGTCGAGGTTTGTAAGGGGCACGGGCTGACCAGTAAGGTCTGAATTGGTCTGTAATAAGGTAGGTCACCAGCTGTCGGCATCGCGAGGCGTGCAGTAGTTAGAGCGTTGCCACGGTTACCCCTTGTTACCATTGGTCCTAGAGACGGGGCTAGCCGGTGTTGTGAGGCTCATTTGCATAATCATCAACAGCATCAGCAGCTTACGCATTGTGAGCTGCTGCTGCTGCCCCAGTAGCCGTCTGGAACGCTCTGCCACTGCGCATTCGCAAGCAGCATCCAGGGTCCACCACCACCCTCACCTGCACGGACACTCACCTGCACGGACACTCACTTGCACGGACACTCACCTGCACGGACACTCACCTGCACGGACACTCACCTGCACGGACACTCACCCGTCCAGGCCCTCCAGTCTCAAGACCCTCACCTGTCCCAAGCCCTCACCTGCACAAAATCTCACCTGTCAAGGCTCTCACCTGTTCAGGATCTAGCTGGGCTCATCAACGAGCGAGTGGCTGGGCTAATCAATTAACGAGTGGCTGGGCTAATCAATGAGCGAGTGGCTGGGGTAGTCAATGAGCGAGTGGCTGGGGTACTCAATGGGCGAGTGGCTGGGATAGTCAACGAGCGAGTGGCTGGTCTAATCGACGAGTGCTGAATCATTGCGGATTGGTGTGCCTGCACAACAGGGCTGGCCTGTTTCCTCCTCCCCTGCACCTCATGCTGACGGCCCTGACCGCCGTGTACTACACCTGCCTACGGCACCTGCCCTTCGCCCACTCTCAACCACCTGCCTTCGATGCCGGCGCCGGCCATCGTGGTGCTGCTGACGATGGTGGAGGTGGTGGAGGAGGAGGGCGAGGAGGGCGAGGAGGAGGAGAAGACGATGATCCCGCCGTCGATGTCTCATTGTCGGAAGAGGAGACGGACGCTCTCCCCGGGGCGGAGTCGAACCTGGTCTTCAGTCAGTACGCGTCGCAGGTGGTCGACTTCAGGTGCGTGTGCGCGAGTGTGTGCGTGCGTGGCGAGTGGTGGCGTGGCGGTTAACGCGCTGCGCTACGAACACGACGATCCGAGTTCGATTCCCGCTCGTGGCCAACATGGGCGATGAGTATCTTAATCGGTGCAGGGCCTCCCCGAGGTCGACTCAGCCACAAATGAGTACCTGGTATGGTGTGTAAACATCGCCACTGGGGAGACGAAGGCGGCCTTCGTAGGTGCTGTCTCGCTAACAGCACTTGCTCCAACAGTCTGTTAAGGCTACACGGGTGTCTTTGTGCGCACGCGGGACTGGACCCAGAGCTGGGCTGTAGTCCGATCACTTTTAAGCAATCGATTGCTCTCCCGATTACCGTTTCGATCATCCGGTCACTCAAAATCAACTTGAACGTCTTCGCCCTCTACCCCCCCCCCCCCACCCCACCCCGTCCCCACACGCTCCACCGCCGCCACCACGGCACGGGGGTGGCGGCAGCTCGCAGTACGGCTCGGAGGGCAGCCTCTCCTACACCATGGGGAACCTGGCGGGGCCACCCAGCGTCTTCCCGGCGCACGGCGACGTGACTCAGGCCGCCGTGCCGCGCACCTACGGCCGCTGGTGGCAGCGGGGGGGCGGCGGCGGCGGCACCGCGGCCGCCCCGCCGGTGCGCGCCCCGCCGACGTTCCGCGCCCGCGACTTCGTGGAGGTGGCGTTCCCTCGCGCCGTGCGCCCGTGCTCCGTCGGCGTGCTTGAGGTCTACAACCCCGGCGCCGTTGTCCGGATCCTCGCCAGGGAGAGCGGCGCTGGGGCCGACGGGAAGGGGCCGCGGTGAGAGCTGCTACCGGTGGTGGTGGTGGTGGTGCTGGTGGTGGCGGTGGTGGCGGTGGTAATGGTGGCGGTGGTGGTATGTGTGTTGAACTTCTTTCGCAGCGTACGTAGCCCACCGAGCTAATCAGAGGCAGTGGTGGTGGTGGCGGTGCTGGTGTGAGGAGCGGCGGGTGCAGCGGTTAGCGCGGTGCGTCATGAATTCGGTGACCCGAGTTAAATTCCCGCTCATCACGGCCAACATCGGTGACGATTGTCTGAACCGGTCCCCTAGGTCGACTCAGCCTCAATTCAGGCGGCCGATCGTGGTGCTAGCCACTTAACACCTTGTGTGCTGGTCTGAATAGGTGCTTTTAACAGCACTTGCCCCAGCAGTCTGTTAAAGGCTATACGGGGGATCTTTGTGTTTGTTGTGAAACATTGAAGCTGTGGTGAGAGGTGATGGTGGTGTGTGAATGGTGGCGAGGCGACGGTGAGTGCTGGCAGCGGCCGGGCGTGGTGCTGGCCATACCAAATCTCGGCAGGTATCAGAAGCTGAACAGCTGAATAATACACAAACGCTTCCCCGTGTCTCTTCACATCCTCCTAACATCTCATTTCACGTATCCCCGCATCACCCCACGTCTCCCCGTATCTCGCCATGTCACCCCGCATCTCTCCATGTCACCCCGCATCTCTCCATGTCTCCCTGCGTATCCCCGCATCTCCCCGCGTCTCCGCGCGTCTCCCCGCGTCTTTCCACATCTCTCCGCATCACCCCCCGTCTCCCCCCGCGCTCTCCCGACATCTCATCTCACGTCCCCTCGCGTCTCCCCCCGTCTCTCCGAAACTCGGCCCCTCCCCCCCGCTCCCCACTCCCGCCCCCCCCCCCCCCCCCCCCCCAGCTGGGCGACGCTGTGGTCAGGTCCCCCCAAGCTGCTGGGGGCGAACCGGTCGCGGGAGTTCTGCCCGCGGATCCGCCGGCCGGGTTTCGCGACGGAGCTGCTGCGCCTGGAGCTGGACTGCTCGCTCTGCGAGTACTACACGGAGCTGGACGCCGTGGTGCTGCGCGGCGCTGCCGCAGCGGCGGCGGCGGCGCCCTCCGCCGCCGCCGGCCCCCCGCACCGACCCGTGGGGCGCGCCGAGGACCGCGACGGCCACGGTCGAGAAGGGAGCGACGACGACGACGCCGATGACGACGCCGATGACGACGACGACGATGACGTTGACGACGACGACGGTGACGACGACGACGACGACGACGGCGATGACGTCAACGGCGATGGTGGGGATGACGGCGATGGCGGTGGCGGCGGCGATGGCGGCGGCGATGGTGGATGTGGAGGAGGTGGTTGGAAGGTCAATGAGAAGATGCCCCAGGCCACGAGCAGCTCGGAGCCCGGCAGCGGGAATGGCTACTTTGACTTGCTGCCATACGAGGTGAGGGTGCGGCCACCTCACTCACAAAGACAAAGATCCCCCATATATAACCTCAGACTGTCGGGGCAAGTGCTGTTAGCGAGCACCTATGAAGGCCGGCAGGGCACACGAGGGGGGTGGGTGGCCAGCAACACGCCCGGCCGCCTTTTTGTCTCACCAGTGGCGATGTCACCAGAACCATCACCATCGTCAACCACCATCGCACGATGGTGGTTGACGGTCAGCACACACTAAAGCACATATCACCATTGTCATATACACACACACACACGCCCCCACATCAACCATCAATGGACGAAGATCCGCCTGTGTAGGTTGTCTAGGCTGTAACAGACTGTTGGGGCAAGTACTGCTATGAAGACCGGCACGGCACACGAGGGGGTGGGTGGTCAGCAGCACCACGCCAGTGGCGATGTTAACATACCGCACTAGGTACTCATTCGAGGCTGAGTCGACCTAGGGGAGATCCAGGACCGGTTGAGATAATCGTCACTGGTGTCGGCCGTGAGCGGGAATTCAACTCGGGTCGCCGGGTTCATAGTGCAATGCGCTAACCGCTGCACCACTGCTCCGCACTTCACTCACCCACGCATTCACACGCACACACACAATCGCCCACCCACCCCATCACTCATTAACTCACTCACACACTCACCAACTCACTAGCCCACCAACCCACTCATTCACCATCATACCCACTCAATCACCCAACTACCCACCCATACACCCACCCAATCACTGGCCCATTTACTCACCCATGCACTCACTTACTCATGCACCCACCCAGCCATCCACTCTCGCACCCACCCACTCTCCCACACACTCACTCTCCCACACACTCAATCAATTTCCCACTCTCCCCACCCACTATCCTACCCACCCACTCACTTTCCCACTCTCCCACACACCCACTCTCCCACCAACCAACTCTCCCACACACCCACCCACTCACTCTCCCATCCACCCACCCACCCACTCTTCCATCCATCCACCCACCCACTCACTCTTCTACCCACGTACCCACCCACTCACTCTCCCACCCACTCACTCTCCCACTCATCCCCTTTCCCACCCACCTACTCACTCTCCCACTCATTTTCCCACTCTCCCACCCACCCACTCTCCCACCAACCAACTCTCCCACACACCCACCCACTCACTCACTCTCCCATCCACCCACCCACTCACTCTTCCACCCACCCACCCACCCACTCACTCTCCCACCCACTCACTCTTCCACCCACCTACCCACCCACCCACTCACTCTCCCACTCATCCCCTTTCCCACCCACTTCCTCACTCTCCCACCCACCCACTATCCCACCCACCAACTCTCCCACACACCCACTCTCCCACCCACCCACCCACTCACTCTTCCATCCACCCACCCACTCACTCTTCCACCCACCTACCCACCCACTCATTCTCCCTCCCAAACCACCCACTCTCCCACGCATCTACCGACTCACTCTCCCACCCACCCACTCTCCCGCCCGCCCGCCCGCCCTATCACTCGCACAGCTGATCCAGCTGATCCTGTCTCACGTGCCACTGCGGGACCTGTGCCGCCTGTGCCGCACGTGCCGCCTGCTGCGGGCGCACGCCGAGGACCCGGCGCAGTACTCGCACCTCGACCTGCGCCCGTACTGGCCCAGCGTGGGCGACGCCCAGCTGCAGGCGCTGGCGCCGCGCTGCACTCACACGCAGGCCCTGGGCCTCTCCTGGACCGGGGGCCGGGGCCTCGTCACTGTCGGGGGATTCGTGCGGTGAGGGCAAAGCTCCACCCCCCCCCCCCCCAATCCTCACCCACCCCTCCCACCTCCTGATGGAGTGTCAAGAGTGGGTGAGTGGGTTAGAGCGTGGGTGGGTGAGTGAGTGCAGCGATAGTGAGAGGGTGGGTGGGTGAGTGAATTGGTAAGTGGGTGAGTGGATTAGAGAGTGGGTGTGTGAGTAAATCAAGGCTGGGTGAGTGAATTAGAGGCTGGGCGGGTGAGGGAATCGAGAATTGGTCAGTGGGTTGGAGGGTGAGATAGTTAGAGAGTGAATCGAGTGTGGGTGAGTGGGTTAGAGGGTGGGTGGGTGAGTGAGCGAATCGAGTATGGGTGAGTGAGTGCAGTGATAGTGAGAGGGTGAGTGAGTGAATCGAGTATGGGTGAGTGAGTGCAGTGATAGTGAGAGGGTGAGTGAGTGAATCGAGTGTGGGTGAGTGGGTTAGAGGGTGGGTGGATTATGATCTTTGTCTTTGTGTACCTGTTGCGTGGTGCCCCCCACCGCCCCTCTGCCCCCCCGCCCCCCATCCCCCCACCACCCCTGCCCCCCACAGCTTCCTGGAGGGCTGCGGGCGGGGGCTGTTGCGGCTGGAGCTGTCGTGCTGCGAGTTTGTGACGGAGGAGAGCGTGGGCGCCATTGCGCGCTGCTGCCCGGCGCTGCGGGCGCTCGACCTCTCCTGCTGCCGCGCCACCGCCGCCGCCACCACCGCCGCCTCCGCCACCGCCGCCGGTGCCGGCACGCCGCAGCCGGCGTCGACCTTCCGTTCCCTCGCCTCGCTGCACGACCTGCGCCACCTCAACCTCTACCGCACCGGCGTGGACGTACGTGCGTGTGTGTACACGTGTGTGTGTGTACACATGCGTGTGTGTACACGTGTGTGTGTGTGTGTACACGTGTGTGTGTGTGTGTACACATGCGTGTGTGTACACGCGCTTGTGTGTGTGTGTACATGTGTGTGTGTGTACACATGCGTGTGTGTACACGTGCTTGTGTGTACAGTGTGCTTATGACCGGCCCCAGTTTAACAGCAGAGGTCTCACTCCGAATCAGTCGAGCGGCAATATCTTTTCATCGGTTGCGTAACGCTGTGTGGAAGCTACCTGGTCTGTCGCTCCGCACTAAGCTTCAGGTCTTCTCGGCCACGGTCATTCCCTCCCTTCTCTACGCTTGCGAAACGTGGACCCCCTTAATGGAGCATCTTCGCCTGTTGGAAACATTTAGGCTGGCCTGCCTACGGTCCATCCTGGGTTTAACCAGGCTGGCTTGTGTGAGGAGCTCACAAATCCTTGAAAGATCTGGGCACGGTCCCATCGGTGAGGTCCTCTGGCAGGCAAGGCTGCGCTGGCTGGGTCATGTAGCCCGCATGCCCAGCCACCGCATGCCGAAACAGCTTTTGTTCGGCCGGATCGAGGGGGCTAAACGGGTGCGGCACGGACTAGAGAAGAGATGGAGTGATGTGGTACAGGAGGACGTGGAGCTGAGTGGACTTGCCGATGACTGGTACCAGCGGTGTCAAGATCGGCCTCTGTGGAGGAGGCTCGTGAAGGATGCTACTGGGCAGTTGGAGGTAGTCGCCCTCCAACAACAACGGAGGGCGGAGGAGCGACGCTCACAACAACGAGCGGAGCGCCGGGTGGCTAAAGCACAGCAGGTTGGCACAGTAGGGGGCACAGGTGGTGCATCAGCCAGCCATCTTAGTCAGTCGACCCGTGGCACTTGGGTCTGCCCCGTGACCTCCTGCCAGCGGGCGTTCGACACTCGCGGTTGTTGTTGTTGTGTGTACACGTGCTTGTGTGTGTGTACACATGTGCGTGTGTACACATGCGTGTGTGTACACGTGCTTGTGTGTGTGTGTGTATGCATGTGTGTTTGTGTATGCCGTGAGTGTGTGGTGGGAGCGGTAGTGTAGTGGTTAAGGATGACGCGCTACGAACCTGGCGACCCAAGTTGGATTCCCGCTCATGGCCAACACCAGTGACGATTATCTGAACTGGTCCGTAACTCTCCCCCTAGGTCGACTCAGCCTCAAATTAGTACCTAGTGCGATGTGTAATCATCGCCACTGGGGAGACAAAGGCGGCCGGGCGTGGTTCTGGCCACCCACCCCCTTAGTGTGCCGTGCCGGCCTTCATAGGTGCTACTCGCTATCAGCACTTGCCCCGACAGTTTGTTAAGGCTACACGGGGGATCTTTGTGCATGTGTGTCATCAGTGTCACCATCATGGTCATCATCATCATCGTCATGATTTCAATAATAATCATTTTGATAAACGCATACCTGTCGATGGCTACCTTATCACAGACCATTTCAGACTTCATTGGTCGCTTATAAATCTCAACGTTCATCCTACAAAGTCCCATCACAAGGGAGAAACACAAACAAATAGACAAACATTATTTTATTTTGCCCGTATTGAAACGGCTGTACGCCGTATGGACCTGAAAACTCGATTTCCCTGTACAAGAATACGTGTAAACACACACACACACACGTATGGGTTTACACGTATGTAAACATCATCTTATTTGGCATGATAGTCTTACACACTTGAGTTTGGTAACAAACCACGGAGCGACGTCGCCCGGTATTGGCAGACGACACCTACGCACAGACCGGTGCTGTGTGCCGCTTGCGCCGTCCGGGGGCAGCTGCCACTGGGAAGTCCACTAGGCCGGACTGCAGCAGTGCGGTGGAATAATTCCGCCACCGTGGCCAGGAGATGTTAACGACCTCGCCTGGTATACAGGGGGTTGTGGGTTCGATCGCGACCCTGACGACCGCTGTATATTTTGAGTTTGCGGTGTCTCTCTCACTCCCCGTGCTCGCTTGGATTTTTTCTCAGGGTCTCTCGGGTTTTCCCTCCACGTTTGGAATCAACATCACACGTTTAGAGTGTTTGGCTGCTCCTATGAATGTCCACGTGATGATGATGAGCCCACGTCGTTGAGCTATCATTCGTGATAGCCAGGTCGCTTCTGTAAAAGATCTACTTAGCTTAGCGGGGTGTTGCACCTGGTAACAATAAACAAGAGTTTAGTTTAGGTTGCCGATCCCTGGCCATGGCTGACGATGGTGATGCTGCTGATGACGATGATGACAACAATGATGATCATGTTGCTGATGCTGCTGATGACAATGATGACGATGATGCTGCTGCTGATGCTCCTGCTAATGATGAGGAAGATGATGCTGCTGATGCTACTGCTGATGACGACGATGAATATGCTACTGATGACGATGATGACGACGACGATGAATATTCTGCTGATGCTGCTGATGACGATGATGATGCTGTTGATGCTACTGCTGATGACAATGATGATGCTGCTGATGCTACTGCTGATGACGATGACGACGATGACGACGATGACGATGCTGCTGCTGAAGCTACCGCTGATGCTGCTGATGAAAGAGTTGGTGCTGTAGCTGACCTCGTCCGTTGTGTGCGGCTGGCGGCTGTGCGAACCGACGTCGCCGCAGGAGGAGGTGCTGTCGGAGATCATCGGCGCCTGCCCACAGCTCCAGACCCTGAACATCGGCAGCTGCGTCCAGGTACGGCGCCACGCACACCGCACGTGGCACTGCCACCAACGCCTGATGATGAAGGTCGTGCTGGTGTTGTTGATGATGACGACGATGGTGGTGACGAAGTGTAGGCGGAGTGTGGTGACGATGGAGACGATGATGACGACGATGGTGGTGGTGACACTGGTGGTGGTAATGATGTTGATGATGACAATTTCGCTGGTGGTGACGATGGTGGTGATGATGACGCTGATGATAGTGGTGGTGGTGGTGGTGACGAGGTGCAGGTGGAGAACGGTGATGACGTGCTGGTCGCCCTCGCACGCTCCTGCCCGCGCCTGGAGGGCGTGGACGCGTGGAGGCTGCACGGAGTGACACACGTTGGTCTCATGGAACTCGTCATGTCCTGCCCTCACCTACAGGTAGCACCCTCGCTCACCTAGAGGCACCGCCCTCACCTACAGGTACTAGACTCACTCACCTACAGGTACCACCCTCGCTCACCTACAGGTACTAGACTCACTCACCTACAGGTACTAGACTCACTCACCTACAGGTACCACCCTCGCTCACCTACAGGTACTAGACTCACTCACCTACAGGTACCACCCTCGCTCACCTACAGGTACTAGACTCACTCACCTACAGGTACTAGACTCACTCACCTACAGGTACCACCCTCGCTCACCTACAGGTACTAGACTCACTCACCTACAGGTACTAGACTCACTCACCTACAGGTACCACCCTCGCTCACCTACAGGTACTAGACTCACTCACCTACAGGTACTAGACTCACTCACCTACAGGTACTAGACTCACTCACCTACAGGTACTAGACTCACTCACCTACAGGTACTAGACTCGCTCACCTACAGGTACCACCCTCGCTCACCTAGAGGTACTAGACTCACTCACCTACAGGTACTAGACTCACTCACCTACAGGTACCACCCTCGCTCACCTAGAGGCACCGCACTCACCTAGAGGTTTCATCCTCGCTCACCTACAGGTACCGCACTCACCTACAGGTACTAGACTCACTCACCTACAGGTACTAGACTCACTCACCTACAGGTACTAGACTCACTCACCTACAGGTACCACCCTCACTCACCTACAGGTACCACCCTCGCTCACCTAGAGGTACCGCACTCACCTAGAGGTTTCATGCTCGCTCACCTACAGGTACCGCACTCACCTACAGGTACTAGACTCACTCACCTACAGGTACTAGACTCACTCACCTACAGGTACTAGACTCACTCACCTACAGGTACTAGACTCACTCACCTACAGGTACTAGACTCGCTCACCTACAGGTACCACCGTTGCTCACCTAGAGGTACTAGACTCACTCACCTACAGGTACTAGACTCGCTCACCTACAGGTTCCACCCTCACTCACCTACAGGTACCGCACTCACCTAGAGGTTTCATCCTCGCTCACCTACAGGTACCGCACTCACCTACAGGTACTAGACTCACTCACCTACAGGTACCACCGTCGCTCACCTACAGGTACTAGACTCACTCACCTACAGGTACTAGACTCGCTCACCTACAGGTACCACCCTCACTCACCTACAGGTACTAGACTCACTCACATACAGGTACCACCGTCGCTCACCTACAGGTACTAGACTCACTCACCTACAGGTACTAGACTCGCTCACCTACAGGTTCCACCCTCACTCACCTACAGGTACCGCACTCACCTACAGGTTCCACCCTCACTCACCTACAGGTACCGCACTCACCTACAGGTACTAGACTCACTCACATACAGGTACTAGACTCGCTCACCTACAGGTTCCACCCTCACTCACCTACAGGTACCGCACTCACCTACAGGTTCCACCCTCACTCACCTACAGGTACCGCACTCACCTACAGGTACTAGACTCACTCACATACAGGTACTAGACTCGCTCACCTACAGGTTCCACCCTCACTCCACTACAGGTACCGCACTCACCTATGGCAAAATACAATCGGAGGTGCGGGGGAAGAAACAACAAACGAAACACAACAACCAGCAGCTCTAAATAAAATGAGTTTGTCAGTCTAGATCAGGGGTGGGGAACGTCCGGGCCCGCGGGCCTTATACGGCCCGCTGGACCGTATAAGGTGTGGCCCTGCCAAGGCAGCCGTAGGCGGGACACGAAATTCAATAAATCTAGGAGCAAACCTGGAAAAGCAGTTGCGAGTAGCAACGTCATCAATACCGGCTAACATCACCACACGCCTCAACAAAGAGAAGCAGATCCAGCCATCGCATTATGGGTGAGTTAATTGAATGTTTGACCGAATACAACGGGCACTTTTTTTAGTTGATGATTTTGTATGGCCCGCGAATGATGTTATTAATATCCAAATGGCCCTTGGCAGAAAAAAGGTTCCCCACCCCTGGTCTAGGTGATGATTTAAATATGGCATAGCTACAGTGGCTTCCTAATGTTGGATGGAAGAGCGTTCCAGACGGCCACAGAAGCACGTCTGAAAGCGCTGCGCGATGATGATGATGATGCGGTGACCACCGTATTTGTTCGATAGCTTAGCCAGAAGCCGCTGCTGCTGGGATGACGACCGGAGTTCGTGTGATGAGGGAGAGAAGAAGGAGAATGTAGGTTCAACTTCTTTAGCACCGTGCGTAGCCAATCCTGCTATGTGTGTGTGTTGAACTTCTTTAGTACCGTACATAGCCAACCCTCCTATGTTTGTGTGTTGAAACTTCTTTAGTACCGTACATAGCCAACCGTGCTATGTGTGTGCGTTGAACTTCTTTTGTACCGTACGTAGCCAACCCTGCTATGTTTGTGTGTTGAAATTCTTTAATACCGTACATAGCCAACTGTGCTATATTTGTGTGTTGAACTTCTTTAGTACCGTACATAGCCAACCCTGCTATGTGTGTGCGTTGAACTTCTTTAGTACCGTACATAGCCAACCCTGTTATGTTTGTGTGTTGAACTTCTTTAGTACCGTACATAGCCAACCCTGCTATGTGTGTGCGTTGAACTTCTTTAGTACCGTACGTAGCCAACCCTGCTATGTTTGTGTGTTGAACTTCTTTAGTACCGTACATAGCCAACCCTGCTATGTGTGTGCGTTGAACTTCTTTAGTACCGTACATAGCCAACCCTGCTATGTGTGTATGTTGAACTTCTTTAGTACCGTACATAGCCAAGCCTGCTATGTTTGTGTGTTGAACTTCTTTAGTACCGTACATAGCCAACCCTGCTATGTTTGTGTGTATGTTGAACTTGTTTTGCACCGTACGTAGCCAACCACTAAAACACAACAAGCATTTCTAAAGAAATTAGTTTGTCAATCTAGATGATGATTTAAAAGTGGCATAGCTCCGAGTGACGAAAGAGCGTTCCGGACGGCCGCAGAAGCGCGGTGACCACCGCCTTTGTCCGACGGTTCGCCAAAAAGCCGCCGCCGCCGCCGCCGCTGCTGCCACGAGGATGACCGGCGCTGGCGTGCCTTGCAGGAGCTAGACCTGGGCTGGTGCTCGGGCCTGCAGAGCGGCACCGGCGTGTTCCAGCTGCTGGCGCGCAGCCTCCCGGCGCTGCGCCGCCTCTACCTCACTGCCAACCGCACGGTGGGCGACCACGACCTGGCAGCGCTGGCGCGGCACTGCCCTCGCCTCCAGCAGCTCGACATCCTGGGTGAGACGGCTGCACGGGGTTGGGGGTGTTTGGCTGCGTGTGTGTGTGTGAGCTGTGTGGGGAGCGGTAGTGGTAGCGGTCAGCGCTACGAACCTAGCGACCTGAGTTCGATTCCCGCTCGCAGCCAACGCCGGTGACGATCGTTTGAACCTTTCCTGGGCCTCCCTGAGCCTCAAATGAGTGCCCGGTGCGGTGTGTGAACATCGTCACTGGGGAAACAAAGGCGGCCGGGCGTGGTGCTGGACACCGACCCTGTTGTGCGACGTGCCGGCCTTCATAGGTGCTACTCGCTAACAGCACTTTCCCCAACAGTCTGTCACAGGCTGTGTGGGAGATATTTGTCTGTTATGTGAGCATAGGCACACACACACACATAGACAAAGATCCCCCGTGTAGCCGAAACAGATGGTTGGGGCAAGTGCTGTTAGTGAGTAGGAGCACCGATGTACGCCGCCACGGCAGACGAGGGAGTGGGTGGCCAGCACCACGCCCGGCCGCCTTTGTCTCCCCGAGTGGCGATGTTAACGCACCGCACCAGGTGCTCATTTGAGGCTGCGTCGACCTAGGGGGGAGGCCCAGGACCGGTTCAGATAATCGTCACCGTTGCCGGTGGCCGTGAGTGAGGATCGAACTCGGTGTCGCCGGGCTCGTAGCGCAGCGTAGCGCTGACCACGACACTACCGCTCCCCCACTAGGCATACACGCACGTTGGGGAGCGGCGGTTCGCGCGCTGCGCTCGCAGCCATGGCAGTCTGCTGAGGCTACGCGGGGGGCGGGGGGCGGGGGGCGGGCGTGTGCAGGCACGCGCATGGTGAGCACCAGCGCGCTGTGGGAGCTGCTGTGGAGCTGCCGCGAGCTGCGCCTGCTGGACGTGTCGTTCTGCTCGCGCGTCGACGCTCGCCTCGTGGGGGAGCTCCGCGCCCGCTACCCGGCCGTGGCCATCAAGCGCAGCGACTGCCAGCGCCATCTGCCCGCCCGCCGGCGCCGTCTGTCCATTCGCCGGCGCCGTCTGCCCGCTCACTAGTGCCGTCTGTCCATTCGCCGGCGCCGTCTCACCGCTCACTAGCGCCGTCTGGCCATTCGCCGGCGCCGTCTGCCCGCTCACTTGTGCCGTCTGTCCATTCGCCGGCGCCGTCTCACCGCTCACTTGTGCCATCTGTCCATTCGCCGGCGCCGTCTGCCCGCTCACTAGTGCCGTCTGTCCATTCGCCGGCGCCGTCTGCCCGCTCACTAGTGCCGTCTGTCCATTCGCCGGTGCCGTCTGCCCGCTCACTAGTGCCGTCTGTCCATTCGCCGGCACCGTCTACCCGCTCATGAGTGCCGTCTACCCGCTTGCGCTGCCACTCGCCCGCCCGCTCGCTCGAGCCATCACCAGCTCGCTCGCCCCTTTGCTGACGCCGCCGCTCGCCCGCCTGCCCGCTCGCTCGTGCCGTTGCCCGCTCGCTCGCTCGCTAGTGCCGTTGCCCGCTCGCTCGCTCGCTCGCTCACGCCATCACACGCTCGCCCACGAGCGCCGTCACCCGCTAAGACCATCACCCGCTTGCCCACTAGTTCACTCGTGCCATTACCTGCCTGTTAGCGCCGTCAGCTACCCGCCCACCCGTCCATACCACCAAGAGATCTGCACAAGCAAGGCTGACGGACCAAGCAAGCAAGCAAGCAATCAAAAACACTGGCCCGCTGGCTGTCGGACTGACTGACCGACTGATCGAGCAACCAACCATCGTGAGGCTTCGGAAGACCATCCAGTGATGTGTGGAGGCTCCCGGCCTGTGGCTTTGTGCGGCGTTTTAATTTAATGTCACAGCTGTGCGTTTTAATTTTCCGCGTTGCTCATGCTGCTGCTAAGCCACGCGCTTGCGCTGCGTCCGATGCCTTACGTCAACGTTGCCCCCCTTCCCCCCCTTCCCCCCCTTCCCCCCATCGGAATCCGATGAGCTATGAAGCTCTTTTTCGCAAATATCCAGTAGGGGCACGGGGTAAGAACGTTGCAACAACAAACATAACGCAAACACACGATAGTAGTGCAGAGTACTAGAAAGGTAAACAAATCACTCAACACACAGATACAAACAACCATCCCCATCCTACCAGGCAAAGCCCACTGAAGGTATTCACTTATTGTTTAGAGGCGACCTGGCTACGACAGATGATAGCTCAACATAGTGGCTCCGTCATTCGGACAAATGAATCTAATAAAAAGTTAACGGCATCATCATCATCGCCACCCTGATGAGGTTGATCGGTGCCAGCGACAGTGCAATCTCGCAATCTCGCAATCTCGCAGTCTCGCAATCGCCACCTGTTTTGTCTTTGATTATCAGGTGTGATTACATTAAAAAAAAAATTCCCAAGGAGATCTGGGAAGTATATTATATGGAATGTTATTGACATTTAAGATTTATATCACGAAATAATGAGTCAGGCAGCTCTCGCTTCCCTCCCCTACATCTGTCTTTCCATGCAAAACACAAAAAACAAAAAAATAAATAACATCCAATCAGCAACACGCGTAGCCCCTGGGAGTGCAGCATCCTACCATCGGCAGCATTGGCTCAACGAAAGCAGAAATCTGTACCGGTTTCGGCTTTCGGTGTCTCATCGGCACACGCAGGCTTGCTTGAGCCGTGCACCGTTGTAGCACGGAACGCTCTCCATTACAACGCGGAACGCTCTCCATTACAACGCGGAACGCTCTCCGTTACAACGCGGAATGTTCTCCATTACAACGTGGAACGCTCTCCGTTATAACGCGGAATGTTCTCCATTACAACGTGAAACGCTCTCCGTTATAACGCGGAATGTTCTCCATTACAACGTGGAACGCTCTCCCTTACAATGTGGAACGCTCTCCCTTACAACGTGGAACGCTCTCCCTTATAACGCGGAACGCTCTCCCTTATAACGCGGAACGCTCTCCGTTATAACGCGGAATGTTCTCCATTACAACGTGGAACGCTCTCCCTTACAATGTGGAACGCTCTCCCTTATAACGTGGAACACTGTCCTTTACAACGTGGAACGCTCTCCGATACAACGCGGAATGTTCTCCGTTATAGCACGGAACGCTCTCCGTTACAACGCGGAACGCTCTCCATTATAGCACGGAACGCTGTCCGATACAACGTGGAACGCTGTCCGATACAACGTGGAACGCTCGCCGTGTTGGCCTTCAGGACGCCAGTGGGGTTTTTTTTCTTCCTCTCCGTGTCCATGTGGTGAGGAATTGAATGAAGCATAAACCTGTTGGTCGGGCCTCTCTTTGGTATGTCGTGTGTGTACGTGTGTGTGTATGTGTGTCTACGTGTGTGTGTGTACGTTGGTCTAAAATATCTAATTAATAAGCTTATGCCGGTAGGTCCTTGGGGGACAGGCGTCTATGACGTCTCCTGGCCAAACCCCATTTGGCGGAGCCAGGAGATTGAACCTTTACCTTCGGGGCTCCTCCAGAAACAACAAAAAGCCACTACGGATGGCCACGTGGAATGTTCGAACGCTCACTGTGGAGGAGAGGCTGCTGCCCCTCTGTCGGGAGCTGGACCGGTACCGTCTGGATCTCGGTGGCATTCAGGAGGTCTGGTGGACTGGCTCTGGCTCCTGCCACCATGAGGGGTGGACAGTCCTCTACTCGGGGCAGGAGACTGCCAAACAACAGGGTGTGGCTCTTCTTTTGAACAAAACAATGAAGGGCGAGTGGGAGCGTGGCGGTGAGGTGTGGGAAGCTGTAAGCCCCAGGCTACTTTGGGCTCGCCTTCCCATCAACCGGAGGCGAGGAGTGGTGGTCGTGGTTACTTATGCCCCCACCGAAGACGAACATCTGTGGAGGGATGCAGGCAAGGCCAATGAGTCAGATGCCTTCTATAACCTCCTGTCCCAGGTGCTAGCTAAAGTGGCCCCTCGGGGTCGAGGAATCCTGTTCAGTGACTTCAATGCCCGAGTTGGTCATGATACTGGCATCTGGTCTGGAGTGATTGGAAGGCATGGGCCAGATCAGCTCAATAACAATGGTAGGAGGCTGCTAGATTTTTGTGCAGCCCATGGGCTTGGAATTACCAACACGCTGTTCCGATATCGGTGCATCCACACAACATCATGGATGCATGCCGGGTCCAAGCAATAACATCTGCTGGACTACATAGTGACAGACCAGCGGATGCGAGCCCATGTCCTTGACACCAGGACCCTCCGTGGTGCTGATCTGCCCTCTGACCATCGACTTGTCATCTGTAAGATTTGCCCGCCATTCTTCCACTCCGGTGGTGGGTGTACACCCAGGACCCCATTCCAACCTAAGGTGGCCTGGTCTCAGTTCGCTTGCGGCTGGGGTTGGCATCTTCCCCCACTCCTCCTGATGTCGAGGGTAAATGGGCGAGGTTTAGGACTGTGACTCATGCAGCTTCAATGGCTGCTTTGGGTACGTGGTCCAGACCTCCCCAGAGACCCTGGCTGACAGAGGAGGTGTTCAGGATGGTTGAGAAAAAGCGACAGACCCACTCTAATTGTCTACAGCATCCCACGTCAGAGAATGAGGCTAACCGCAGGTTCGGAGAGCTGTGAGGCGCTGCAAGGATGGGTGGTGGTCGCGGGTTGCTAATGAGATGGAGTCTGCCTCATTGGCCCACGAATCACAAATCCCTATTTAACTCCATCAAAAAAGCAACCTGCAGCGCCACACCTATTACCGTCATTAGGGGAAATAACGGTGATCCAATCTCCGACCCTCAGGAACAGGTTTGCAGATTTGCTTAGCATTTCTGTGAGGTCCTGGGGGAGGGGAAATCCCTCAGCCTGAAAAACATGGGACAAAGTGGGGATGAGTAAGTACTGAAGGCGATCCAGAGTCTGAGACCAGGAAAGGCACCAGGCAGAGATGATCTCCCTAGCGAAATGCTGAGGGAGGGTGGCGTTTGTGCGCAGACTGCCCTACATGACATCATAACAACAGTCTGGACCACTGGACGGGTTCCGCAGAATTGGAAGGATGCCCTGTTGGTCCCCCTCAGACTGTAACAACTGCAGGGGCATCTCACTCTTCAGTGCGCCGGGAAAGGTCCTGGCAAGGATTATTCAACATCGCCTTGCTCACCACGCTGAGGAGAGGCTCAATGCGGTTTCAGGAAAGGGCGGTCCTGCACAGATGCCATATTTTCTGTCCGTCTGCTACAGCAGAGGTATAGGGAATTCCAACAAGACCTACATCTCTGTATTGACCTGGTCAAGGCCTATGATACCATCAGTAGGCCTGGGCTCTGGGTTGTTCTTTGTGCTTTCGGAGTCCCTGACCCTCTGCTCACGCTCATTAAGGCCCGGGTAAAACTATATGGCCGGGAGTCAGAGCTATTCCCTGTACACCTTGGGGTGCGACAGGGATGTCCTCTGGCTCCCACATTATTTAACATCTATTTTGACTACGTAGTTCGTGAAGCCTTCAATAGCTGTACCGGAGGAATTTCCATTTGGTACAGATATAATGGGAGGCTGATCGATGCCCGGGTGCGGTCAAGGGATCGCTCCCTATTGCCCAACCATGTTATGTATGCCGATCATCTGGTAATTGCTGCTCACTCAGAGGAGGAGTTGAACCTGGAGTTTGCCACCAAGAGGTGGGGCCTTACCATCAGCCCCACCAAAACTATCATACACTCCACCCCCACAACTCCCAATTAGTGATAGGGCAGTTGTGGAGAGAGTGGAGAGTTTCCCATATCTTGGCAGTGTGCCCATGACCGGTTCCGGTTTAGCAGTAGAGGTCTCACTCCGAATTAGCCGAGCGGCATTATCTTTTCATCGGGTGCGTAACGCTGTGTGGAAGCTACCTGGTCTATCACTACGCACGAAGCTTCAGGTCTTCTCGGCCACGGTCATTCCCTCCCTTCTCTACGCTTGCGAAACGTGGACCCCCGTAATGGAACATCTTCGCCGGTTAGAAACATTTAGGCTGGCCTTGCCTATGATCCATCCTAGGTTTAACCAGGCTGGATTGTGTGAGGAGCTCACAAATCCTTGAAAGATGTGGACAAAGTCCCATCGATGGAGCTGAGTGGACTTGCCGATGACTGGTACCAGCAGTGTCAGGATCGGCCTCTGTAGAGAAGGCTTGTGAAGGAGGCTACTGGGCAGTTGGAGGCAGTCCAACAACAACGGAGGGCGGAGGAGCGACACTCACAACAACGAGCGGAGCGCCGGGTGGCTAAAGCATAGCAAGTTGGCACAGGTGGTTCATCAGCCAGTCGTCTCAGTCGATCTGTGGCATCTGGGTCTGCCCCGTGACCTCCTGCCAGTGGGCGTTCGACACTTCACATGGCCTCAAAGTGCACATAGCCTGGCACAAGCGTCATGGCGACGTCACCGCCATTTAGTGGCGAATGGCGGTTATTGTGTACATTGAACTTCTTTGGCACCGTACCTAACCAACTGTGCTCATCGGAGGTGCGGGGGGAGGACAATAAACTAAGCACAAAATGCAACTCAAAAGTAATGCGTTTTCAGTGTAATATAGTATAGTGTATCGTAGTATAGTGTATGGCATAGTTTATTGTAGTGTAGTATTGTAATGACGACACACTTCTCTTGAGATGGCACTTTATTGAAGACATGTTCACTTGACATCAGACGGAGACCCCACTGCAAAAGCCCCGAGTCTCCCACGCATCTCCCTTATATACCAACACGAGGCCACACCCCCCCCCCCCCCCCCCCCGAACCATCTCGTTCACTCTGGACGCTCGCTTCACCGGCAGAGTGCCGTCCTCTTCCGTCACCTGACCACGCTCCCTTCTCGAACATTCCCGTAGCCACCAGTCCCTTCGCACTCACAACTGACACCCCTGTCATTACCTCCCGCGGCCACCAGTGCCTTCGCACTCACAACTGATACCCCTGTCATTACCTCCTGTAGCCACCAGTCCCTTCACGCTCACAACTGACTCCCCTGTCATTACCTCCCGTAGCCACCAGTCCCTTCGCACTCACAACTGACTCCCCTGTCATTACCTCCCGTAGCCACCAGTCCCTTCGCACTCACAACTGACACCCCTGTCATTACCTCCCGTGGCCACCAGTCCCTTCGCACTTACAACTGATACCCCTGTCATTACCTCCTGTAGCCACCAGTCCCTTCACGCTCACAACTGACTCCCCTGTCATTACCTCCCGTAGCCACCAGTCCCTTCGCACTCACAACTGACACCCCTGTCATTACCTCCCGTGGCCACCAGTCCCTTCGCACTCACAACTGATACCCCTGTCATTGCCTCCTGTAGCCACCAGTCCCTTCACACTCACAACTGACTCCCCTGTCATTACCTCCTGTGGCCACCAGTCCCTTCGCACTCACAACTGATACCCCTGTCATTACCTCCCGTGGCCACCAGTCCCTTCACACTCACAACTGACTCCCCTGTCATTACCTCCCGTGGCCACCAGTCCCTTCGCACTCACAACTGACTCCCCTGTCATTACCTCCCGTTGCCACCAGTCCCTTCGCACTCACAACTGGCTCCCCTGTCATTACCTCCCATAGCCACCAGTCCCTTCGCACTCACAGCTGACTCCCCTGTCATTACCTCCCTTGGCCACCAGTTCCTTCGCACTCACAACTTATACCCCTGTCATTACCTCCCATGGCCACTAGCCTGCTCACACCGCATGCAAGCTCTCTTGTCATTACAGTAGTATAGTGTATCGTAGTGTACCGTATAGTGTGCTGTATAGTAGTGTAGTATGTAGTATATAGTAGTGTATATGTATGTTAAAATTCTTTCGCACCTAACGTAGCCAACCGTGCTCATCAGAGGTGCGGGGAAAGAACAACAAACTAAACACAACAACAAAAAGCAGTTCTAAAGAAATTAGTTTGTCAATCTAGATGATTTAAAAGTGCACAGCATTCAGCGGCTTCCTAATATCGGAAAGAAGAGCGTTCCAGACGGCCGCAGAAGCGCGCCTGAAAGCGCCGCGCGATGATCCGGTAACCACCATCTTTGTTCGATGGGCAGCAATAGTGCAGTGTATAATGTAGTGTACAGCAGTGTATAGTGGAGTGTATATGTAGTGTAATGCATAGAGTAGTGTGTAGTGTATGGTGTAGTGGAGTGTAGTATATAGTGTAGTGTATAGCAGTAGTACATAGCTGTAGTGTATAATGTAGTGTACAGCAGTGTATAGTGGAGTGTATATGTAGTGTAATGCATAGAGTAGTGTGTAGTGTATGGTGTAGTGGAGTGTAGTATATAGTGTAGTGTATAGCAGTAGTGTATA